GCCGCCTAGCTCCGGAAGCTTATGGGTCTCTCGAATTCAGGAAACATGCCGAAGAGAGCCCCGTCTTTGAGAAGTTTCGTTCAATATTCGGACCAAAAAAAAGGAATGACTTTTGTCGAACTTGTTATTGGTTCTTTTTTCGAAGAGCGCGAGCTAGATGTCCGTGCATTTTCCCAAGACCGACTCTGGGCTAGTAGGCGATTGAGGAATGGCAGCCTCGAGGACCAAATACAAGTTCTAACACGAACTCTCATAGCTCCAGGAACTACTCCACTGTAACTTGCAGCAGCTTTAGGCCGGCCGAAACTTTGTCAGTCTCTGTACCAATATGATACCAACATTGAAAGCCAGAGCCTAGAGGATTGTCTACACTATGTTTTCGGCACGATGGAACTTTTTCTACAACAAAATACTTTCGGTTATTTTACAAACCCCGATGTTGGGTACCGGTATCAAGCGAGTGAATCGATGGAAAGGAAGATTCTCAAGGAAGAGGCGGCCAACTTTTTCCTTAAGCTGTATACCCAACGAAACAAACCCGGTTCTGTGCGAGCCGAGCGACTGCAACTTAAGCGGTTCAGGAACAACATACTGCTACACTTTGCTGTTATGCACCATGATGTAGGGGTTGTAAAAGTGCTGCTGTCAAAGGGTGCTGACCCCAGGGCAGAAAACGATCAAAGAATAACGCCTTCATTCTACGCAGAACTGCTGGACTTCACCGTCGTAAGCGAGCTATTGGCCGAAAAGATATCGTTGGGGAGTAATCAATCGACTGCAAAGACGAGTATCATGTTCTTAAAGAAACCGAGACCGACACTATCACACCACACAGTCAAGGATACTCATTTTTTACAATGTCACTTTAAACAGTCAGCGGAGTCGCTTGACGAGGCTATCAGGAGTGGCGACAAGCAGTTAGTCACCAGTCTGATCAATATAGGTGTGTCGGTAGACGTAGAGTTACCGGGTTGCCGTGGGTGCTCAGTAACTCCTCTGATTCGTTCTTTATGCTGTGGCAAAAGGGGCATCCTCTCTCTGCTCGTTATCAATGGTGCAAGATTAGATTGTTCTTTCTGCGACGATATTCCTCCAGAATTGCAAAATGTGGTCTCGATGGCCATTGCATACGATCTAGGGAAGGAGTGCTTGGAGTTAGTGCTTGAAGCCTCACTTCCACAACAGTTTCTTTGGATGGAATCAGGCGTCAACCCGTGCCATGTAGCAGCTCCTTATCAGAGCGCTGGCGCACTCTACATTCTGTTAACCCATCTCGAAAGTCATCGGGAGAATTACCAGCAAGTGATAATTCAAGTTATCCCTACATGGCCCGCGACTTTAGCCACACATCGAGTACCTGGAGTGGCAACACTAAACATTTTGAGAGCCTAGCACTAACCCTGGCTGGCAGGAGATTCATGTATATGGTAACCCGAACCTCGGAACTTAGATCACACACGATGATTACACCAGCCGACGTTATCAACAGACGGAGCGCAATTCCGCTTCAAGCGTACGTTCTTAGGAGCACCTTTGCATTATACAGTTGCTTCGAACGATTTACAATCCGTGAAGATTTTACTTTCTCATGGAGCAGATGTCAATGTGCTTAATGATTTGCAGAGGTCGCCACTGATGATAGCCGTTGAAAGGAGCTCGCTCGTGCTCATCAAAGCGCTACTAGAAGCGGGTGCAGATACGCATACCCGCAATTGTTTAAAGAGGACAGCTCTCATGTTAGCGGCCCAACACGCCAATATGGTTTTGATCGATACTTTGAATTGCGACGATTCTGTATTGAATGTGACTGACGAACTTGGGCGAATGGCGCTACACTTTGCTGTGAAGAACAGCCACTTGGCAGTCAAAACTTTCATTCACTTCGTTGGTAGAGGATTGTCTCCTTCACATCATTATCCAAGGCGACTATCCGCTATTACTTACGCTTTTAAGGAAGCACCTGAGGATCCGAACCTCCTGGCCTTTATTCTCAATTCTGGATTGCTGTCCATGGTCGATGAGTCGGATCCCTGCAACCCCCTATCTTGCGTTACTCGGTTCCAAGGATCTATTTTCTTGGTAAGATCATTGCGCTTTTTGAAGAAACACCAAAAGATTAAAGATTTTGTTGATCGGGAGACGGACTACGATTTCAGTCCCCTCTGCATTGCCGCTATGAATGATATCGTAGAAGGTCTGGATCAGCTCCTCCAATTTGGAGCTAGGGTAGACAAAGAAGGCTGTCTATACGGGAGTCCACTCATGGCAGCGAGCACATTTGGCAGACTCGAATCTTTGAAACAGCTTGTCCGCAGCGGGGCCTCCATTTCATATACAAACGATCAAGGGGTATACCGTAACGCTTTCCAAGCCGGACTTCATCATCAGCGCATCAGAGACTGGTTTCTGTTTGGAAGATTCCTAGATCAACGAAAATTGACCTCTTGTTTACATTGGGAAGGCCAGATTTCCTAGATCAAACACTGGAGCGGACCTTTTAGAGTAGAATGGAAGCTGACAAGGAGAAACAAGCGATGCATGAACGAATCTGTGCTCGACCATCTGGGCACGATACAACGCCTCAAAACTTGGGCAGAAGGCCGCGTTTTGGTCTCATCCCTTCCATAGATTGAATTTGTAATTCGTTTAAATCGCCGGGTCATATAGCCGACCGCCAGACATTCCTATTCATCGTCTGAACGATCAAGAAGCTGTGAAAACCATCAAAGTCAATTCAGAGTATTCAACTTGAGACAAAACAACTACGAGGCATGGCAACCTTGAGCCCAGGATCAACAGCAAGCACCCTGGAACCGTATAGATCAGCAATATCGACTCCTCAATGGCCATCCAGCTCAGCGTGTTTTTATCAAGTTCTGTATGGCACCCAACATCCCCGCAGTTTGGGTCAGATCTGGCGAGACTGGCAATAGAATTTGTTTGGAAGTGATTACGAGAAAGATGTGGGAGAAGGACATTGAGAATAATCACTTGTCCAGTAATACGCCTCTATACACTCTCCAGGATACAAAAGGATGCAAGTGAGTCAAAAGCCCTCCAACGTATGTAGAAAGCGCATACAGTTAATAAATGTAAGATGCCCGAGAGTTAACCCATGATGACCAAAAGACTGGTGGAACCACGATTTGCTTCGTTCCAACCAAGAACTCGTAATGCATGTGAGATACGACCCTAAGCTTGTGGTTTTCTGTATGCAATGGCTGATTAGGAATTTTACTGCAGAAGAAGCAACTCCAAAAGGGTACTATAGCAGGAGCATCCGCCTTCTCCCTTCAAAGCAAGGACTTCAACACATATTTGCACACAATGGCCGTTCAGCTGCATCGGTACAAGTCCGAACTTCATCGCATGGCGGTCATCATGTGCGAACTTCAACCTGACAAGTTGGGTGTTGTTGATAAATCTGGAATCAGTGAAAGCAATATATAGCCCAGGATAGTCTCAAGATCGATCACCTTGTGTCACAACTGAACGCTATCAGCAACTTCTCTGATGAGCTCGAAACAAATGTTCAACACATATTGGCCTTGGTAGCTTTTTGCCTTTTTTTCTTTTAGATAACGGCAAGCTGGCTTCAATTGTATTTTGACATAGCTCGTCAAACAAATCCAAGTAACGAACGGTCGAACCTTGCAGGCAATCCTTATGGCAGCACAAAAAGACAACAAACCGCCACAAAGAAAAAAAATTCAATCTCATGATCTTTCTAAAAGTATCGAGAGCGACAATATCACTATGAAACGGTAGGGGAACCCAAAAGAGAGTTCCCAAAATATGAGGCCATCGTGACTGATGAAGACTCCGGCTCTAGTTCGGATCTGGGCAATTCTAACCGTTGCATTCAAAATGCTCGCATCTTTAGTCTTTATTCATATGATCCGTGGCCGAACGAGAAATTTGCCGCCGATAAGGCGTACACAGAATGGTGAAGAGGCTGGTGAAGGGGAGACATACATACTACTTTCCAGTCAGTTGGCGCCAACTGCCATAGCAAGACCATCTTGCGATCATCGACCTCATCTTAAGGGGATGTCAATATTGGAAAGAATGTCATGTAAATGAATATATGGATTACATATGATAACATCTCTTGAATAACGCCTCCAATGATGTCCTTGATCAGCTGCGACTACTACCACTCCCTGGAATCAATATTCGAAGCTTCTTCGGGTCGTCACCTCACCCTCTGACCAATGGGGTGAGCTGGGCGAGACAAGGGTGATCCTAGGTGATCTACCCAAAACTTGGAACCTGCGAACCAAGACTCCTAGCTGTCATACAAAATAAGGTTTAGCTACGGGTTTTATATATATCGGACAGTCCCAAGCGGACTGGCGGAGTTCCCGACAAGAGAAGGGGTTAGAAAAGTCAGGTATAACTGAAATGATTTTCATAATATACCACTTCCTGCTAGTTCATAATAAAAAATAAGTTAAGACGACATGTGACAGGCCCCCGGCAAGAGACAATAGATAGAGTTCAAATGGCGATGTACACATCTAATAACCCCCGCTCAGGTAAGTCACGGTGCTAAGGAACATACACGCACACACATCTAATCAATTAAACCAAGGATTATCCACGTACTGTGTCAAAGTTAGCCTTGATAGACACGCTAGGTAAATGGCAGAGCATACGTGATATGCATACATGACGATTTAGGTGTTAATCAATTCCAGGAGGACCTCAGCCGAGCGCGCCGAGACTGCCGTCAATAGGTAGCCTAGCACAACAAGTTGCCAAAATTAGCAGCATGGCAGATTAACTGGCACATCGAATAGACCAACCTCACCCAGGCCATCGGTTCGTGAAGTCCGCCATGACCAAATACTTAAATATGCAATCATGGGCTGAGCTCTCAGACACTATGTGCTCTCTATGTTTAGGCAACGCTCGACATTCATTCCTTTCGTTTCTTCTGTCGCTTCTTCATACATTTCTCTCGCTTCTTCTACGTAACCCAATTTCGTTAGTCAAAAATGATGTTCGACATCCGACAATCTTTACTGCTCAGCTTGACCTTACAGTCGCTCTCTGCGGGAGCTGCCCATTTTCCAGAAGAGCCCTACATCAATGCTGCTCTACTTCCGAGACGGCAGATGCCAGTGAAGAACGGCACCTCGTTAGTCATACCCTCTTCTAGTCGTCGCTCTTCTCTTCCCGTTTCAACAAACATTCATTCTGTGACTCTGGTATCAAGTCCTGTTTCTTCTGCGCTGCCGACCATATCGGCGCCTATCACGAAGCCTCCGGTTTCATCAGCAGCACCAACATCAACCGCTCCGCCAGCTACAACAACAGTAAGCAATGGCGACACAATCGTCGTTGCCGCTGGTGTAGTAGTAGTAGGAGGTGTCGGAGGTGGCTCCTTTACTGTGGCAGGCTCGTCGGCAGGCCCTGTTGCAGTCGCGGCCGGCACGACCGTGACGGCCGGCTCTTCGCAAGGCGACAACCCGAATGACCCGGACAACAAACCACCCAGCTCCGCGCCAGATGCTTCCTCCAGTTCTGCTACCTTAAGCTCGACCTCTGAAGCTCCTACTAGTACCTCGAGCGTGTTGCCGACCGAGACCCCCAAGGCGTGCATAATCTTCTGCAAAGACGGAGCCACAACTCAAGAGAGAACTGACTTCGTAGCGCTCCTCGACAAAGAGATCGGTAAGAGCAACTACCGCAAGACGGAGGACTCGGTGGTGTTGTTTGCCACCGCCAACATCACAGCATCACAAAACTCAACACTCAGCAAGGACCCCACGGTACGTAGGAGTGCTTCTCTTGACCATGTGACCCTTCACGTTTCGCCATAACTTTAGCTGATGGCTTCTTCAGGTTGGAGACGTAGAGCTCGATGAGCTGTATGATACCAATGCCGGGACATCCCAGCTCGTTCCGAACAGCAAGCGCGACCAAGATGTCCACGAGAAGTGGTGGATGGAGTCGCTTAATAAGCTTGGAAAGATCAAGAAGCGCGCCGTGGTCAAGCAAAGCAATGCCCCGACGGAACTTGTCATGTTTTCGCAGCCTCCTTTGGTGGACATCAAAGCACTCACTAGTTATTCCTACGATGACAGTGCGGGAGCTGGCATCACCGTTTACGTACTGGACAGCGGATACTATACGAAGAACAGCGTAAGTGGACAAACGCTACCATCATTGTGCAGCTGCTGATCAAATCTGTTCAATAGGAGTACACTGGCATGGCTGTGAAGCCACGCTGGATCTTTGCTGGCAGCCAAGCAGACAAGTCAGTCGAAGAGGACAATGATTCTGATGGTCACGGCAGTTGTGCTGGGTCAAAAGTAAATGGGCCCACGTATGGAGTTGCCAAGAAGGCCGATCTCGTGATTGTAAAAACCGGAATGTCTTCCGGTGACACCCTCGACGGCCTCAGCCAGATTTTAACGGATGTGAGGGATAAAAAGCTGCAGAACAAGGCTGTTGTGAACTTTTCACGCTCAAGTAAGTCTTCTGCCTATACTAAGGGAACAGGAGGTGGCCGGTATTCGGGTTGACATTTGCTGACGACCCTACCATCAGTTGACAACCCCAATAACTACAACAAGAAGCAACTACAAAACTATGTCAACGCGCTGATCAAGGAAGACGTCGTCTTCATTGTTGCATCGGGAAACGATGAGTCAAAGGAAGTCGAGGTAAGTGCTAAGCTCATAGCGTCCATTTCGCCGTGCACTAATATTACGGATGTAACAGGAAGGAAAGGCAACGGCGAGGGACATCGACGCCTGGCCAGCAATGTTTGCAGCCGATGGTGTACCAATCATCAACGTTGGAGCTACTGACATCACCGGCAAGAACGCCTCGTTCTCTCAGGGAGGCCCCTTGTGTCACGTAATGGCACCGGGTGAACAGATTCAGTGCGCTGCCAACTCGTACTTCTTTAACACTCAAAGGCAAGACGGCACGTCTTTCGGTCAGTTAAGCCCTCAAACTCAGGTTATAGCCGTTGGGGGTGAAAGCTTTTGTTGACAACATGTACATAGCGGCCCCCTCTGTTGCTGGTCTTGCGGCTTATCTCCTCGCTCTGGGAGAGTACCCTGAGCTATATCAGACGGGTAAGGTGGCAGCAAACATGAGAGATCTTCTCGTTTCCATGGCGTACCAGCGTGTGCCAGACGGTGGGCAGGTTGTATTCAACGGCCAAGGAGCTGTCTGTTCCCGCCCCAATAGTGCCAAGTTTAGAAGACAAGACCTTAGCGGGGAGGCCTGCTCAGCCGTCGCATCCACGACAACGATTCCTCCCGCATCCACGACTGCTTCTCCTCCGACTGTTTCTCCTGCTACCCCCAGTGAGCCAGCAGCCACAACATCCGCGCCGCCTCCGCCTCCCCTGCCCCGAAGACCTTGTTCTCACTAGACGAGAGTGTCAGTGCTGGTACCAAGTCGTGTTTCCCTACAGCAGATTTCACTGCATCAGCCGGAACGACGTATGGCTTCTCATTCAACGTGGATGCCAACCTTTTGGTGAGCATCGAGACGGGTTCTTCAGATGAAGGATACCACCAGTCGATGGGTTCATGGACGGGCACTTTCTACGCTGACTCGAGCTCCTCCCTCTCGATATGTGGACAAAGCTCAGGTGGTGCCTTGCCCTTGAACTTCACCATCACTGAAGCGCCGTCAGAGGCTGTGAAGGCACCTGCCGGCAAGGAAGCGTTAAACATGAACGAGAACCTCACCGCCGGGGCAACTTCATGCTTCCCAACAACCAATCTCAACATCCAGCAGGGAAATTACGGCTTCTCGTATACCACGTCTGATGGGATTGTCATTCAAATCGGCGATGACAGTTCCGGGCCCAAGTACTTCTCCGGAAACAAGGCGTCGGGCGCCGGTCTGATGTACATTGACTTTTCAGGAGGTACTATTTCGGTCTGCGCGACAAACAATGGTGGCGAAGGAGCAGTTCTTTCTTTGAGTATCACGCAGTGATTGGCAACTCTTACCAGCAGCCTGGGCTGACAACTGTGGAAAGAATCACTGGCAAGGCGCTTATTGGATAATGCTTTTGACTAACTAGATAATTAAAGCGTGATTAGTAGTTAGATAAGAAGCTGGATACTAACTTAGCTTAGATTCTAGTCAGTACTTGAAATAAGTACCAAAAACCCCCATATTACGTCAAAGTAGCGTGTCCAGGTAAGCCTCAATGAAGCTTTGAATTTTGATTCCAGGTAAGGCTTGACCATTATGTTTGGCCAATATGGTAAACATCAGTCACCTGAATCTTGTTACATACATAAGAAGATCAGCCTATGACCAACTGTAGCGAGGAAAACACCATGAAAGACCAGTGCAATCCTCAGCAACTTCACATCTAGGAGAGCCTACTTCGACCATCGTCCTTGTCCACTCCCTCTGGTCTAAGGAGAGCGTTTCACACCACTTCTATTCCAGTCACAGCTTGGAACGTTTTCGGAGGGCTTGATCAGGGTTGCGCGAAACCTATGAAGAAAAAAAGATGGAGGAAAAGGGCAAGCGCTGGGTCTACCCACACAAACGAAGAATCCTCGAGGTACCTGAATGCCTCGGCGCGTGATATCATGTTATAGCTCGCAGCTCTCAGGAGAGGATGAGAGCGTAGATACGACGCGCTAAAAGATACGAAAGGCTTCTTTTGAGTCTCCATCAGATCCGAACCGGTTGAGAGCGGTCGACCCAGCAGCCCTCCTAATAGTTCCGCCATTGTCCAGAAGTGCGTGCTTGCTCCGCTGCCTTTGCAAGCTCCTCGTAGATAAGACACCGAAGCCAACAGAAGACTGCACGCCTACGTAAGTCAATGACAATACTCAACAGAGGCGCTGCATTCAGAACCTCAATGAGTCCAGGCAGCGGGTATCATAACAGTGACGCCACAAGCCCTTGTAGTCCGTCATTGCTGCTAGAGTCAAGCTCCTCAAACGAGCCAGCCATAACGGTTACCAGCAACCAAACAAGTACCGGCGAGTTTGAGGGCAATGAGAAGGATTCAGCCAGTTCACGCAAGGTTATCACTTAATAGGGAACATCTCAAACCTTCCACTCAACCGCGGTGCGAAACATGCTGGCAGCAACGGCAGCTGCCATGGTGGCTGAGATATCGAAATCCGTTTTTGATGGGGCCAGAGTGAGTGGAAATCACGGGGCCCAACCGAGCTTTTGGTAGCAAACATCAACATAGAGAGGATGGCCTGACGCCTTACTTAGGCGCCTTATCTTCTGAGAGGTGCCTAAAGATGGTGTATGGTGGTGGCAGTGTTGGAGAAATGGTAGGAGCAACTCATCGTTGATTGAAGTATCCTCCCTGCACCCCTAGCCAGTCCAGGCCTCTCCGTATTCCGAGGAGTGTTGACAGGTTTGAATCGTTCTTAGGCTGAGGTAACCTTAATAAAAGTACCATTTTGGGTCGGAGTTGTGAGAAGAACTAAGCCAGATCCCAGCCGTGGTTTAGATTAACCATCCGTCAACTCATCGCAATCTAGGCTGTCTCACACAAGGTTAGAGAGGTAGCTAACGCAAATACTCATTTTAATTAATATAAGGATTAGGAATCGTAATCCATTGATATGGTGTTTTTCTTACAGCTTTGATACCAAGAGTGCAAGTCTTGAGATCTGTGCACAGGGGCACCGTTGCTGATCCCGGGATTTGGGCCACTAGGGACCCGTCCAGCCCTAAAGATTCACTCTCGTCATTACTACTTTCTCTGTGTATCGTGCATCACAACGTATTAAGGGCGCATGTCTAATCTTCGATCTTCCCTAGGAGTCTCTGGCTTTTGACTAGAGATTATCAGTGACTTGTTGCCGAAAACGAAGAGTGGCAGTGTTCACTCAAAAGCAACTATGCGTTTTGGAAATGGATCCACTTACTAGCAACACCCCAACGCTGCGAGAGCAAGGCCAAAGTCCCAGTGATTATTGTTGTTGTCTCCTCTATCCCTTCAATAACATCTCCTTCGCGTTTGAACCACTGACACTCAGTAGCAATGTCATAAAGACACTGGATAAGTAATGGGCTCAAGCGGCCGACGTCTTCCAAGCCCTGTTGGAACGCACACAAAGCAAGGTCGGCACCCTGAGTGGAGACGATTTGCTTCAAGCCCTTTATAGAGATAGTCTGCATCTCATTCTCTGCTGCAAGCCTCTCCGACGTAGCATCAGGCTGTACGCAGGCGTACATATGATATAGAGTTAGTCTTGCAGAGGTACAGAGGGCGAGGTCAAGAGTTGTGGCCAATAAAGTGTCCCCAGGATCTTTCAGTGAGGGAGAGAGATGTTTATCAAGGGCAGTCAATGTGGCGTCCAGCTGAAGTGCTTCGCTCAGCGTCGCTTCTTGTGAGACTAAGTCCTTTCGAGAATTCCTGTGATTGAGCACGCGGCCAAGAATGTGGGATGCCTGACAGACCCGAGCGAAGGGACCGACTTCCGCATTAGTTGAAAATCCCGTCGTGAAAAGAGGTTGACTGGTTCCTATCTCGCCCTGGCGCCAAACCTCATCCGAGGATGGGAGTAGGTCCCCCCTCGTCGGCTCGGGGGTGGCCAAAGGAAGGCCAACGGGGTTGAGATTGATGTAGCTATTCACGAGTCAGCCTTTCGATGATCAAGTATTTCGGTGTGAATAGCCAACGACAAAAGCGAAATGATGTACCGCTCTAGTATCGATGTAGCCCACCAGGTGCGACGCTCTTCTTCCCAGTATGTCCACGTCGGTGGCCCTTGGAACAGCTGTGTCGCATGTTTCCGATCATGAATTCCTCTCAAGAGGCCCAGTCTCGCAGCCTGACCGATCGTCAAATACGCTTCCGGATAGATGCCGTGGCCGATTTCATATAACCCTAAGAGAACAATCGATTGGAAATAGCGCAGAGACGTCGCTATGACTTTTTCGTTCCTTTTGAGGTACGCCTTCACTTCGTCGTAGAGACCTATTCCCTGCGATGGCTCGCTTTCAAGGTCGTTATCAGTGATGAGCTTCATTGATAACAACAAACCAGTCATTTCTGTAGCTTCTGAGGGCGACCCAGCTTCCAGGCCCTGGATAAGTCTTTTTCTGCTGATAAAAGGCAACCAGGTGTCAACTGAGTCGAAATATGACTCGCAAACAGCGTCAGGCTGTCCAATCATTGCAGTGAAGTAGGCCGGCACAGAGTGAGGCTCGCCCTTATTCGCGTGTGAAATGGGTTTGTGGAGCTCATAATCAATGAAGAAAGCATCGGAAAAGGTCTCTACTTCTAAGCTACTTGTTGCGACAGATGAGATGAAGGATGTTGCGGTAGACTGAACGTCGTCTTCTTGTGGTAAACCATACGGTTTCCGTCCAGCTGGGTATTGGCAAGTCTTGCCCAGCCGAGTACACTTGGGGGCAGTTAGCGTATAGCTTTCTATTGCCTAATGGCCTGGGAGTAGTGCAGCTTACCAAAGAGCATGAAGGTAAATTTCGGGGACATCTTCTCTTAAGCTGCCTGTTAAGTATGTCAGCATCATTTAAGGACTAAGCGCTTGAAGGCTGAAAGCTGCGATACCTGCATTGTCGACAGGCTTGCGGTGCTCGCCCGGGGGTCCGAGATCTCCTTGAGCCCTGCTCTACGGAACTCGACGCCGAAGAAGACATAAAGACTGTCGCAGGAGTATAGAGGCGTTGGCAACCGTATTGAATTCTGTTGATCGAGGTACCTATACTGTGTGATGAAAATTGCTAGTCTTCGTGGCCTTGCTGATGGCACGAGTTTGGTCAGACGAAAGCGTGGGACGGATGTGTTCACCGCGTACTGCTCCGTATCCGAGCCCGGTTAGGGGAGCCCCGAGGAATGCCGTCAGTTATGCATTCTCACGTGCCTGCGGTGCCTGTCAATGCCGCTAGCCAAATATCTGTCTTGACCCGAATCCTTCAAACGCCAATAGTCCTAGCATTCTGTTCCGTACCGGATTTTAGGCACTTCAGCCATGAGCTAGCTCTAGGTGACCCCTCATGCGCCTGATCACGGAGATAAGCAGCTGCTGTATTGGTCAGGTTCTGCGCTAACTGCATGCGAGCCTGGAAGACTTGCCTACCGCTAAGCCTAGCGAGCCAGGCACGGCATGCACGAGCGGACAATTCAAGGGCATAAGAGCGGCAAATCTCACTGTTCAAAAGACCGCTTTGCCCGCATCAACGGTGCACAATCCTATGTGCTCACGAGCGGCACAGCGCCAGCGACAACGTCGAGCGGCTACTGCGGATGGAGAGCCCATCGACGAGAACTATTCTCCGCGAGAGCGAGACTCCATGTTGGGAATGGAACTGGTCTTGTATGTTATAAATATGGCGATGTTTGCCCTCCTGTAGTCTCTCTCTGAAGCATCTCTTTCTTCAGACACTCCAGCCACTACGTTTACACACAACATTTCTAGACTGAACAAGTCAGCACCTCACATTAATCTCCATTACTCAACCTGCCAGACATACCTCCATAAACATGGACTCTTTCAAGCCCTATGCGGATCTTTTCCTCAAACCCAAGGGTCCAGGCGATGCTAGACCCACTGCAATGCAAGTCATCCGCGACAACGCCCTCGTCAACAAGTGGGCCGGCAAGGTTGTGCTCGTCACCGGCGGGACTTCAGGACTCGGCCTCGAGACTGCGCGTGCTCTCCACGCCACAGGCGCTGATGTCTTCATCACGGCCCGAGATTTCCAGAAAGCGCAAGCCGTCATCGCCAACATTGCCAAGTCATCGGCGGGCAGTGGCAAGCTGGATGTTGTTGAAATGGACATGAACTCCCTTGGTTCGGTCAAGAACGCCGCCCAGGCTTTTTTGAGCAAATCTCCTAAGCTCAACGTCCTTGTGAACAATGCAGGTGCGCAAGAAACGACGACCGGGTGACGATCCAACTGCGCACATGACTAACTTATCCTAGGAATTATGGCAACACCAGAGGGAAGCAAGACAAGTGACGGGTTCGAACAGCAGTTCGGCGTCAACCACCTTGCTCACTTCACTCTTACGGTCCTTCTTCTGCCGACCCTTCTCAAAAGCAGCACGTCAAGCTTCAACTCACGCGTTGTGGCGCTCACCTCCTCCGGCCATAGATACTCCGCCATCAACTGGGACGACGTCAACTTCAGCCAGGGCTATAACCCCTGGGTCGCCTACGGCCAATCCAAGACAGCCAACATCTGGATGGCAACCTACATTGACCGCGTCTACGGCCCGCGTGGTTTGCACGCAAACTCTGTTCATCCAGGCGGCATTCTCACGCCGCTGCACCAGCACGTGCCAGCCGAGATGGTTGAGGCGAGACAACAGGACCAAGCTCTAATGGACAGTCTGCTCTCGCCGGAACAAGGGGCTGCCACGACCACCTGGGCCGCTTCTGCTCCTGTGTGGGAGGGGAAAGGTGGTCAGTATCTCTGCGACTGTGGGCAGGGAGGGTTGGCAAAGGATATGATGGCCATCTCGGATCCGGGGTATGCACCGCATGCGTTTGATCGCGAAGGCGAGGAGCGTTTGTGGAAGTTGAGCCTGGAACTCGCAGGAATTGAGGCCGAGGTATAGATATTGTGCCGTGAGCTTTTTTTCCGGGTTGATACACATGTCGCAAGTGATTATTTGATGGAGTTGATTTGAACTATACGCAGCATCGTGTCCAGCAACCAGTACTATGATTGAACAGGAAATGAGCAGGGGTTTGATTTGATAGACAGACTCTTTACAGTTTCATACCGGATATCGTGATGCATTGCAAGTGGAAATCCGTTCGCATGATTTAAAGTTAAATTCTTTTTTTACTCACTCTCCTACTGGGCGCTGTTTCCATCTTTCATTTTCATTGTTGTAGTGATAGCAATCTAGTTCTGCTCACCAACCTTGAGACAGGCGGACATCAATTTCTCTATCTGCATTCTATTGTCTGATACACGTCGAAATGCACCTGTGCTAGAGAGGAAATCAATGGCATTTTGATTCTGGTTTTTGTGGATGCAAAAGACTATCTACTAAAACATGTCAAGTACAACTTGAACGAGCATATGCGTGTTAACCAGTACTTATAACTTTCTTCTGAAAAGCATACGATGAACAATCTGGCCAGTTTGCCATCTATCTACCGAAGTCTAACGCAGATAGCAAATCTGTTACTATTTGGGTCACAACTGACATAATAATTGAGGGAACATGGACAGGAACATACTAATCTTGCAGTATGGGTATCTCAATGACGGAAAATGCAAAGGAACATATAATACAAGATGACAGGTAAAAGCGTTGCAGTGAAACTCTCTTTCATGTTACAACAGTCTTCTTGATCCTCAGTGTGACTGGTGAGAGCTTCAATCCAGCTGGTGGTCTAGCGGAGCTCAAATATCTTTTTCAGGTTTCAGTATCTCTGTACAATGCTGATTATTGCAACAATGATGAAGAGTCCGCAAGAAAAGAAGCTCCTCTTTGTAATTTTGCCATCGTTCAACGACTAAACGGAGCATCAGATGCCATTGAAGAGTGAACCTTGACACTTTGCTTCGGTTTCCCGTCAAGTACCGTGCGCAAGCTCCAGTGCTCTATCCAGACTTTCGTGTGGAATCCAGGTACGGCAAGGTGTATCGTGCTCAGCATCTCACTTCGAGACCCATGGTATGCGAGGATCTGGGTAACGCTTTCGCATTGGCTCAAACACTCAGTTGGATGCCAAAATGCGAAGGTTGTTACTCATGGTCACAGTCTCGTGAAACCAATCTCGTCGAACAAACTCTACGTCTCAGCAACCCTCGCAACAGCGACACAACCGGATTCCATCACTCCTCCTTACGAACCTTCTCGTCATGGGCCACCCGCTTCTTCTCCAGCGCGGCGTTGACCAGCTTCAGCCTCAGCCACTCGGGGACGTTTTCGAAAAACGCCCTCTGCACAGCATGCCTGAACCAAGGCGTCACCTCCAACATCCCCCTCTGGGCCGCCCGCCCCGCCCTCTTCATCACCGCCTTGGCAAACTCCCTCGCCTCAGGCGTGCCGGACGGCAGCGCGAGCGTGTTGGCCTGCGTCTTGACCTCCCCCGCGACGAGGCACAGCACGTCCACCGGCGCCTTCTCCGCCGCCATCTCCCGCGCGAGCGCGTGGCTGAAGGACGACACAAAGCCCTTGGTGGCCGAGTACATGACGACGCCCGGCATGCCCGCCCGTGTCGTCGAGCTGACGTTGAGTACCAGCGACGGGCCGTTCTTGGCGAGGATCGGCACCAGCAGGCGCGTCAGGCGCGCCATGAACCGCGCGTTGAGGTCGATGGTCGCGTCGACGTCGTCGGCGCTGAGGTCGCGCAGCTTCCGGACCGGCGGCTGCGGCGCCGGCACGCCACCGACGTTGTTGACGAGCACCGTGACGTTGAGATCCGAGAGCCCGTCGACGGCGGCCTGCACCTGCTGCGCCGAGCTCTTGACGGCGTCGAGGACCATGAGGCGCACGGCGATGTCGTTCTTGTGGCGGCGCAGGCACTCGGACTCGATGAGCGCGCGGGCGTCCTCGAGCTCGTCCTCGTTGTGGCCGAACAGGACGACGTTGAAGCCGCGCAGGGCGAGCTCCTGCGCGCAGCCCAGGCCGATGCCCGCCGAGGCGCCGGTGACGAGGGCCCAGGACTCGTAGGCGCCCTTCTTCTGGTAGCGCGTCAGCGGAACCGACGGGAGGATCCAGAGCGCGAGGGCATCGTAGAGGCGGTAGGCGGAGTAGAGGACCCAGACGAGGCCGATGGCCTTGAGGGCCTGGTCGAACATGGTTGAGGATGGTGTTGATGGGTGCGCGCTGGACGGTTGAGGCTCAAGTGCGGACGTCGAGCTTGTTTCAGTGGGGGCGGCCAGGGAAGAATAAAAACCATCCAGGGGGAACGTGCTGTTTGCCGAGCGGATTAAGTTCCACCCTTTGCGGCTCAACGGCCCCAAGAGCAGCTTTTGACGCTTTTGTAGATGCATAGACACGCGCGCAAAGAGACGGGCGCTTGCACTTGGAGTGTCCAAGCTCAAGGATACCAACCTCAGATGCATCTAGTGCCCCTAGTTGCGATTCTACATGGTGCTTTTCTTTTTAAGCTGGTGCCTTTGGTGTTGTCCAGTTTCACGTATAGTTGACACAGAGCACCAGTCATGGCATGAGAGACACTGACTGTTCTTACAAAGACTCTTGAGATGAAGCGGGAGCCTCTTCAATCTCCAACGGCCGGTTACCCGGCCTGAGGATTGGGAAATAGCACTCCATAGTGAAGAGAAAATAGCTGCACAGGCTTGAGCTGTTGAATTATTTCGAGGCATGAAGGACCAAATCTAGCATAGCCCCCATGTCCTTCCAATAGGAGAGACAATAAGATGCGTTGAGTTGCTGTCAGAGATCACAATTGACAACCAATTCCCTTTACTGCCGGACTCAGCGCGGGCCCCACTTTAACCCCGACCCCCGAGTGAGTTGACCAGACTCTTCACGGCTCTCATACCGTCTGCACACAACGAACTCACTTACCGTTCACAACTCGAATTTGCCATGTGGGTATACCAAGGGAGTCGCGCCCCAAGTGGCAAAGTGGTGTCGAGAAGATCTGTATCTCGCCTGTCCAACTTCTCCAGCCGCCGGGCCAGCTTCCGAGCGTCTTGACTGGCCCGCCAACCCTGTCCGGGGGGTTACGTTGACGATGCAAGGGTTCCGACGTGGAGCTCGTCTCGGGCGGGTCGGGTTCATCGCTGAGCGCCCCCTGTTTCAAGTCATTCGAATTTAGCAGCCTTTCCAAGTTTCCACTTACCTCGGGGCCGAGGAGTTGCGCGTACGAAGGGGACAGTTGGCTGGTGAGTGAGTCGGCTGCGGAGAAAATTGTGCGAAGGTCAGTCATGGGTTTGGCTTGTGTGCTGCAGAGCAGCAATCGCAATCCTATTTGAACGTTTGTTCCCGGAAGGAAAAAAAAGATAGTACCATCTAGCAGCTGCGGATAACGCGCGATCCTGCTGCTTCCTCTAACAAGGGTCCTCAGTGACCCTAAACCGAGCCCATCTAATGTATGCCGAAGTGAAAACCGACCAAAGAAAATGTGTAAACCAACAGATAACAGAGCCGAATTCCGGCATGCAGTGAAACAGACATTGTACCCGAATGGCGATGGCCATTGCTTTTCCTCCCTACGTCCATTGTGCCGGCTCAAAGTGCGTCGCGATCATGCTGTTGCAACCCAATGCCGAAGAATACCACCGACCCCCAATGTAACGATGCCAATGTCCGTGCTGAACAAAAGAAACCAGAACCAGATATGACCACCGGACCCCCCAACGCCATTGGTGTTTACCAACATCATGTATGCAATTCGAGCCTAATCCCTCCGCTCATCCCTGTCGCTATCCTCACCACTGTCGGTGAGGTCGACTGCTTTGGTCGCCTCGACCTCTGTCATCTCGCGCCAAGTGCTCCAGCTCAGCATGCCGAACGCGATCATGATCATGACACCGCCAATAAGAGCTGCAGCACTGAGAGGCTCGCCGGTGCGCAGCCAATCCGTAATGGCGACGATGAAGATCGTAAGCAGACTGGCAACGCTGGACAGGACAGGACTCGTCAAGCTGATGAGAACCAAGAAGCTGCCGGCAAAAGTGGCATTCATAACCACACTGAAGAAGAGCATCCAAGCGGTGTAGCCCGTCGGCAGAGCGAACTCTTCAATACCGGTCCAGTGAAGAATGGGCAACGGGATCCATAGCACGGTAAGCGTGAAGGCGCCGATGCAGGAGCCAAACGTGTTTGCGAAGACCATGCCGCGGCCTGGCGAGCAGCCGTCGGGCGGGCAAGCGTAACGCTTATAGAGCACTTCGTACAGTCCATAGAGCACAGAGCCGACGCCAATAACCAGGTTGCCCGTCAGACGCTCGCCGGCAGCTTGCTTGTGAGCGGCGTCGTTGTCGGTAGGGCTGCTGTCGCCGTATGCGACAATCAAGACGCCGGCGATGGCGACGAGGACGGCGAAAGACTTATCCATGCGCAGAGGCTCTTTGAGCAAGGGGACGGAGAAGACGTAGGCGAAGAAGGCAGAGCAGTTGTAGATGGCCGTCAGGTCCGAGGGAGTCGTCATGTTGACGGCGACGTACCAACTCAGGCCAGCGACCGTCAGGGAGCATGTAATGAAGGCGGTCGTACGGGCGAGGTAGATCCACGGCGAGGTGCGAGGGTGCGCGCCAGCGCGCGACAGGTCGAGATCCTGTCTCTGAACCATGATGGCGGTGGTGTGCACCAGCTCACGGTGTCGGCGCCAGAACGAGGGCCACGGGGTTTTGCGCTTGTTGATGCGCAGAATCAGCAGCTGGACCGGCCAGAGCATCGCCCAGGAGCCGTGGGTCAAGTAGAGCATGCAGTATGCCTTGTCCCAGTGCAGCTCCTGCTGGATATAGGCAGACAGCTCGGTCTGGATGACGAAGGAGAACAGACTCAGGACGAGGAAGAAGGCGGCGTAGATGTATTTCCTCCGAGCGTTGGCCGTGGCTGTCGAGGGAGAGTGGTTTCGCATGGTCGATCCGCGAGAGAAGGTCGGGCGGTTCGGGGTCAGCAAGGGGCTGGCTCCTCGAGAGCGAGTGGAATAACTCCTGCCGCGGTGGTCGTCATCGTCGCCGTCTTCGACCTTGGAGTTCAGAAGAGGCTGACCCGAGCGGGAGTGGTGGTTTCGAAGGAGGGGCGGTCGGTTGTCCATATCGTCGTCGTCGTAGTCGTCGTCGTCGTCGTGCTCGAAGTACTGGTCGTTGCCGCTGCGCAATGCATCAAACTCGGCCAGGCGCTGGTCGAGCCCAGGACTGCTGGTTCCACTACCGATATAGTCCGAGATGTTGGAATCGCATGTGGTTGCGCTCAAAGGAGGGTTCTGGGAATGCTCGAGCCTCGAATGGGGAAGGTTCAGGGTTCCGTCCAGCCCTGTGGTGAGTTTGGGAGGCATAAGAAGGGGTGATCAAAGGAGCGTCGGAAGAGGGGGGGGACAGAAAGATAATAGCAAAAGATAAGAAGGGAACAGAGGGACCAGGCAAAAAGGAGTGACTTGAACGGGGAAAACCAGTTGCTGCAGGAGCTGCTGCAAGGACACTCGAGTAATGGAAGGGAACAGGATGCCAGTGAGTCGAGTGCGTTGTGCTTTGGTGTCTCTTTTCGGTCGGGAATGGTTGTGTTCAGTTGGACACTTGGGTTGGCTGGCGGAGAGTGGATACTACTACCCTACATACAGACTACATGTAGTACGTACGCACCAACGCTGACAGGCGCGAGACGCAGACTCGGGAAGCAGAAAGATGCGAATTCCAGTAGGAAAAGGGAGCCCGCCCCGGGATTTCGCATTGTGGTGGACCGACACCTGAGGAGGAGGAGTCTGCCTGGATACACACAAAAGTACCTGAGGCGTACCCGTTGCCGTCCAAGTCGGTGACGAGGAACCTGGAAAGGACTGCCCTGTGCCCTCCAGTTCAGCCCTTCTACACCACCTCACTACTGGAATATTAGCCTGTTCATCCCAGGGAGGTGCCTTTTGATAGGCCATGCACCCCCTACGCCGAGACACTGCTAACTTGGCCGACTTTCGGCTTTGCTTGGCACCGTCCGGAAGAGAGCGGTCGGCCAAGGGCGGTTCGCACGGAAGGGCCTTTCCCCCAATCTTTTGCCCATCTTGTCCCCCACTCCCTATATTGAGTGAGGCGCACGTAACACCATCTCAAGGTTCTGCACCACACACACGCGCGCTCACACCACACAGCAACCTTACCATCTACGCAACTCTCCGTCTTGTGTCTCCCGCCAACATCGTCCTCTCCCTCGGACTGAACTACATAGGCCACCGGGCCTGGACCACCCCCTCGAGATACCGGACCACCGCCGTGACACATGAGCCACGCCAGCGCCAGCACTCGTCTCATTCTCTGTTGACCATGCGTCCGACTCTCTGCCCTACTGGGTACATAGCGTTAAGGTACTGCACCAAGTACCCAGATACCACACCCATCCGCCAAATCTTGCGCCCGTCACAAGTTGCGGTCATGAGCGCCGTGACAAGCCCCGTCACCTGCGCCTGCGTCTGATAAACTCTCCCAGGTTGTAAGGTCGGCCTGCAAGCCGCCGTGTCTTAGCGTGCCCGGCTATCATAGTAGACCGCTGCGGCGGTACGACGGAGGGCCTCAAAAAGCACCCCCTCTACCCCATCCTACGCCATCATGCATGCAGTCGCATGACTGGCATTGGCCCGCTGCCACACACACCTGGGGGCACACACACTCTCTCTCACTCAGTCACCCACGTCTCGCGCCGCGGATCTCATCGAAAACAGGGTACATTTGCGTGCGTCAATTTTGACATATGATAGGGCCATCTGTCCAGAATTACAAGGCCGTTGGCTGCTGCCATGCCTGCGTGTTTACAGCAGTTCGCACTTCAGAACAGAAAGCTTCCAGCCCATCGCGCATCATCCTCATCACTTAGCCCCGGCGCTGAACAGGGCATCCCGGGTATCGTACTTGTACTCGACATCCATGTGCCAGTAGTTGGTCGTGTCCGCCTTGGAGATGGCCCATGCCTGATCGAGCGCCTGGACAACCTCTTCGGGAAGCGGGCCCTTTTCGAGATGGTTGAGGTTGTCCTCGAGCTGCTGCACGCTCGAGATGCCAATGATGATGCCGTCGTTGCCATCCTTGATCTTGAGGCCCGAGTGGTGCACCGTCCATCGCAGCGCCGTCTCAATCATGCTGAGCCCACTCTTCTCCACCGCCGCCTCGATCGTCTGCAACGCCTTGAACGTGCTCTCGCGGAAGTAGCGCTTCCGGTAGTTGCCTCCCGTGCCGTGCTTGTCCGAAAACCGGCCCTCGGTCGGCACGATGTCCTTGGACTTGACCTTGCCCGAAAAGAGCCCGCCGGCGATCGGGTTGTACACCACAAGGTCCAGTCCGTAGCGGCGCAGCGCCGGAATCAGCTCGGGCTCGATGCTGCGGGTAATGACGTTGTACATGCCCTGGTACACCGTCGGCCGAACCCAGCCATTGTACTTGCACGTCAAGACGACCTCGGCCACCTCGAACGACGTGAAGTTGCTGATACCCAGCTTGACGAACTTGCCTTGCTTGTGGAGCTTGTCGAGAGCCTCAAGAGTCTCGGCAAACGGGGTTGCACGGTCCTGCAATCCAATGTTAGTCGCCAAATGCTGGCCCTTGTGATATGGGGTGAGAACAGCTCATACCGCAGCATGGAGGTAAAGAATCTAGACGAATTGGTTAGCGCGCCTCATCACCGGCCACGGCCTGGTGTCAACTCACATCAACGCAGTCAGTACCCAGCTCCTTCAAGCTCGTCTCAACCGACTCGAAAACCTTGGCCGCGACGTTATCACCAGGCTGCGAAGGGTACTGGACCTTTGTGGCCAGCGTCAACCCTCTCTCCTTCCACTTGGTCTCGCGGGTGAAGGCCTCCTGCTGTCTGCCAACGTAGACGCGGGCCGTGTCGACCTCGTTGTAGCCACGGCTCTGAAAGACATCGAGAGCCTTGTTAAACGTCTCCAGGTCGGTGACTCGGGCGCCGTCAGATTCCTTAGGTCCAAAGGTCATGAGACCCAGGATGATGCGGTCCTTAGGGTTTGAGGCGACAAGAGGCATGGTGGCAGCTAGGGATCCTTGAGTAAGATGAATGAGGCAAAGTGGGGAGCAGTCAATAGGATTGGAGAGTCGTGCAAGAGAAGACACAAACCTTCTGAATTCTTCAAACGAGGCAAAGATTCGACTTTATATATGAGGCCTTTTGCTCGGACGGAGATATCTTGAGAATACAAGCGTTTTGCATCTGAAAGCGATGTCGTGATCAGATAGACTACCAGAGAGACGAGCTCGGAGTGGGCATCGGGGGCGTCGGGGAGTCAGAAACCCCACCATCTTGGCGGGGTAAAACTACGTGCGACAACTCAAGACGTCACGGTCCGTTACACCCACGGAATTGGAGGATTACTAATGGGTGAGCTTCCTACTTGGGACGGGGACTGCCAATAATTCGTGCTGAAACCCCAGGAATTGGAGTCAAGCTGGTCAGCGAGTTACGACATATAGCATTAGCAACCCCTCGATTGGCAATGAGGAAAACTTTCGCTTTGTCGGATTAAGCCCGTTATCTCCTAAATCCTAGGTGCGTGGAACATGAAGGAGACGATTGCAAAGCCGCCTTATGTCCGCGAAACAAGGGAAATCTGAGTGGCTTGGACATGTAGACGGCTAGACAAGAGGTTACCGTGTATCTGCGTGTTTACGGTCTTTGAGGATGCGGACATACAGTACGTCCAAGGCGATGCCAGTATCAAAAGCCAACTCGTCGACCGACCTTGTGGAGCTTGGACCACCTTCAGGGAGGAAAAGCACAACACGTGACCTTATTGTCGAGGACACAGCCCCACTTTCCGTTATTGACGCTCGGGTTCCTATTCGCGCTGCTTAAGTGCCCTGCGCGTAAGGTAATCTGAGAAGGCGCGTCTCGCGTCACCGACGTGCCACTTCCATCAACCGAAGTGCATCCACTCAACCTGGTGAAATCTTTCGTAAAGCCGATCCTCAACTGCAAGCCTCACCGACGACCCTCTCGCCCAACAGCTTGCCTTGCCCCCCAAACGAAACGCCGCACGACCTCTGCAATCGACAACGGTCTCGTCGATTTTCCTCGCCGCCGACCGAAACGAACTGCCCAACAACCTCCTGACCAGTTTACGAGGAGTCGGCAGGGCCCGTCCCTTGCTCCAGGTTGGTGACAATGGTCAAGGGCAATGCGCAACCCGGCATCTACAGTGCCACCTACAGTGGTGTAAGTCCCTGTCTCTCCAGCCCCAAAGCTATCCATGGTCCGGGCCCGACGGAGTCGTGATACTGTCGTTCGAAGCGCCCAACCGGGCTGGGCGCTTAACTTGATCCGCCATGGAAGACGATGGCCTCAGTGCCAATGTCGAACTCGAGTGCGCCCAGTGACACTACGGCCCACTTTCTTTCAATTCACATCACGTTTGCTAATCATGCATTCGTCTAGATCCCCGTCTACGAGTTCCAATTCGGAGATGACCTCAAGGAACATGTCATGCGACGGCGGCAAGATGACTGGATCAACGCAACGCACATTCTAAAGGCCGCCGGGTTCGACAAGCCCGCCCGGACACGCATCCTCGAGCGCGAAGTACAAAAGGAGAAGCACGAGAAGATTCAGGGCGGGTACGGAAAGTACCAGGGCACATGGATCCCCCTCGAAAAGGGCGTCGCCCTCGCCCAGCGCAACAACATCTACGACCGTCTGCGACTCATCTTCGAATACACCCCGGGCGACCAGAGCCCGCCGCCGGCTCCCCGGCACACAAGCAAACCAAAGGCACCAAAGAAACCCGCAGTGCCCAAATGGCCCGGTACGAGCATCCAACAACAGCAGCAGCAGCAGTTACCACCACAGGCTCAGCCCCCTGCTAACTCGATGCAAGGCGCACCGCCGCCGCCAGAAGAATACGATGTTGGCGACTCGGTCATGAACGACGATGATACCCCAGACAATCTCACCGTTGCCTCCGCCTCGTACATGGGCGAGGACGACCGCTTCGACATGTCCCACCACTCCACCGGCCACAGAAAGCGGAAGAGGGAGGAGGCAATCCAGGACCTGACGCAGCAGCAGCACTCCGTCTACGGAGACGAGCTCCTTGATTACTTCCTCCTCTCTAGAAATGAGAAGCCAGCATATCGCCCTGAGCCCCCGCCGAATTTCCAACCGAACTGGATCATCGACTCGGAGGAGCACACGGCGCTCCACTGGGCGTCAGCCATGGGCGACGTGGACGTCATCAAGCAGCTCCGTCGGTTCGGCGCCAGCTTGAACGTGCAGAACGTGAGGGGGGAGACCCCCTTCATGCGTTCGGTGCATTTCACCAACTGCTACGAGAAGCAAACGTTTCCCCAAGTCATGAAGGAGCTCTTCGACACCGTTGATGCTCGGGATGCATCAGGCAGCACAGTCATCCACCATGCTGCGGTGATGAAGAACGGGAGAGTGGTTAGCCATTCATGTTCGAGGTATTACCTGGACAACATCCTGAACAAGTTGCAAGAAACACATGATCCCGCCTACGTCCAGCAACTCATTGACGCGCAAGACGAGCAAGGCAACACCGCCCTCCACCTGGCGGCGCAACGCAACGCAAGGAAGTGCATCAGGGCGCTCCTCGGTCGCCAAGCGTCGACCAACATCCCCAACAGCGAAGGCGTACGAGCGGAAGACCTCATCGCCCAGCTCAACGCCACTAAGAAGGAACGCGGCCCTCAGCGCTCCTCGTCTCCCTTTGCGCCCGACTCCCAACGTCACGTCTCCTTCCGTGACGCCATGCCAGAAAGGATGACGACAAGCAAGAAGCTCGCTCTCGCCTCGTTCAACTCGGAGGCAGCAAACACAGTGCACGCGCGCATCACGCCGCTCATTATGGAAAAGTTCCAAGACCTCGCAGGAAGCTACGACGAGGAGCTCCGCGAGAAGGACCAGGCAGAAAAGGAAGCCCGCCGCATCCTCTCCAACACGCAAGCCGAGCTCGCCGCCGTGCGGCAGCAGATCGCCGAGCTCGAGGCGCAGCTCGAGCCGGACGACGGCGCGGCGCAGATCATGAGCGAAGCCAACCGCGCCAAGCACCAGGTCATGTCCCTCATCACCCACCAGAACCGTCTGCATGTGCAGCAGGCCGTCGACCAGGAAATCAGCAAGCTCAACGGCGACGTCGACGAGGCCTCGTACGAGGACCGTCTGTCCCTGGCGAAGCAGCTGCAGACCATGCTCTCGGAGCAGCGGCAGTCCGAGTCTGACTACGTCGAGGCGCTCAGCATGGTGGGCACGGGCGAGAACATTGACAAGTACCGCCGGTTGCTGCGCAAGTGTCTGCCCCCGGCCGATGCCGAGAACCTGGACGAGAACCTGGACAACCTTATCGAGATGATGGAGGAGGATCGCGACCTGCCGGGCGACGGATCTGGCCTCGAGCCCATGGACGTCGGGATGAGCAGCATCGGCATCGGCATTGGTATCTAGCCGGGGCACTGGTCACTGGACTGCTACGAGGCGCCAAGGCAGGTGTACAAGTACATCACGGGGCGTATCTTGAGCAATCAGTGGTCGGGGTGCGAGATGTACGAAGCAACTCTACGGGGCTCGCCTCGCTCGATTTACGAGATGCCTTTTTTGCGGGAGAGCTTCTTCCGGCTTGGATTGGGAAAAGGGGGTGACTTCAACAAAGGGGTTCAGGGTTTGCCGGCTTTGTTTATTTTTTATTTATATTTTTGCGGTCAAGGCAGGGCAGGGCAGGGCAAGGCAGGCAAAGCAGGCTTCTTCACATTGGCTTCTTCTCTTCATTTTTTCAACGGGCGTTTTCGAGGGTTGATGAGAAAGGGCAGGGGCGAAGCTAGGGCGAGGGGAATAGTATTTCGAGGGATGAGCGCGAGACCAAAACCACCGCGCGCAAGTGTATGTCTGGGTAGACCTTGTGTAATGTCGAGCGGCGACTCGGGAAGAGAGAGCGCCGCGCAATCACAAACGAGATTTCTCACGCAAACCCGGGCATGGCAAACCGCTCACCCTATGCCAAAACGTCTGTTTCCCCGGTGACGCTGATGCTGCCTACTTTAGCGGCGGGGAACGGAAAGGGTACCCGGGTGCTTCCTCCGCCGTCTGACCAGAAGCGACGAAAGACAAGGATGAGGCCGTCTGTCAGCCTGGCCGCTCGACAATGTGGACAAAGAAGTTTCTCATGAGGCTGGCTGCGATGGCCAGTCAGCCAACGCGGCGCCTTCACAGCGCCGCCCTCCTGTTCCCCCCCCTCCTCCGGGGTTTCAGAGTCCAAAGGGAGAAAAGCCTCATGATCCACGGCGTCGCGTACAAAATGGTGAGACTTTTGGGGGGAAATATCACCTCTTTCGGCAATATGATGCCCGGGAACGAGATGAGAAATGAGAAGGATAGTGTAGGAAGGGCGTCAGCTTAGCAATCGACGCTCACCGCAACAACCATGACTTGACGTCGTGACAAGACCGTCTGACATTTGTGTGTCGCCCGAAATGTCCGAGGTTGTGAGCGGGACTGCGCTAGCCCGGTGTGTCTTGGCGACTGCCCTCGTTCCGACTGAACGGCTTGATGCCGTCTAAAGCAATGTGTGAGTCCCAGTTACGTCGAGATGCAGGGCTGACTAGACTCCACCATCGTCAGGGCAGAGCCGCAGGATCCGAGTATCGATCCTGGAGAATAGGTGCAAGACCAACGAGCCGGCAGGACCTCGGTAAGGCGTGAACTGCAACCATTCCAGGCCTTCATCAATTGAAAGGCGCCCTTACCCAAGGACTATGCCTACCCTACCATCGTTGCACTGGGGATTTGTAAGCTTGGCATGATTCATCAGCCGCATGTCCCGTGGGTGTGAGAGAACCATCAAGTATCAAGTTCCGGCTGCGTGCCGAGAGGCAAAAAAATCACACAAGTGCAGCGGGCAGCAACAGCCAAGGCTGAGAGACGTCGTAACTTGACCTGTAGCGTTCGAGCGCGAGGCCTTGATGGTGAACAAGTACTGAAGGCGCCCTGATAGCCTCGCCCGGGGGATAGTAACGATCTGATGGCTATAGATTGCCATCGAGGTCTCACCGAGTAAGTGGCGATGGCGGGCAAAGCATGGTTCTTGGTCCTGTCGTTTCCTTCCAACACGAGAGTTTCAGTGGCGGGGCCGAGTTGGCAACGAGACCTTTAGCGGCTTCACGTGAAGAGACGTAGCAGTGGGTACATTACCTATTCGCGGATGGAATAGAGGAGCGGACAGCGGAGTTTGTGGTGACATTGGAACGACAAACCATGGTTAGATGGCCAAGTCTGAGGCCTTTCCTGACTGGAGCCTGACCAACCTGGCCTGCCCATCGAAGCAAACCGAGAGGGCGATGGGGGACATTCGCATGCTAGTCTGGCAAGGTATTCGAGAAGGGTCAGCCAATGGATACCCAATGACCAGGGGACGCACAAGGGCTTAGGGGGACTAGTGGATGGGGGTCGATTAACATGCTGACGCGAGTGCATGTCAGAGGGCCAGGATCTTCGTAAGGCTGAAGTGCGCGAGGGGTCCCTGAATGGCTTCGCATTGTTTGGGCGGTTGGGGGCTGGGATGTGCAAGGGGAGAGCAGGGAAAGCCGTCGGCGATGCGACGTGAATGGCCTTGGTAACCGCGACCACGAGGACTGACGTTGAGTTGGTCCAGTCTGCTGACGCCAGATACAGATTGTACCTTTACTGTTGGTGGTTGGACGTGTCAAGCTCGAGTTTTGTGACGCATCTTGGTGATGCATTGCAGATTTCATGCATGGTGAGGTGATGGTCGGCTGCATCTCGAGGTTGGAGCGAGACGACAATGGGATAAGCACTTGGCCGAATCCCCATGTTTTGGTCCAAACTAGAAACGGCACAGTACTTTTCTTGCTCCCTTGGTTGGCACACGACAGGCGAATGCTGCCGCAAGGCGCATTGCCTCAGATGCCCCTGCGACTTGCTTGGCCAAGATCGTGCAGTACAGACTTTTCTGTAATACGAGACATTCGATGGTGGCGATGTCGAATGCCCAGTTTTTTTGTTCGACGTCGTCCCGAGACCGTTACACCACAATCAGCGACTGCGGTGGTGGAGGCTCTCCTCCGGGCACTACTGGAATGTGGGCGGTGGGCGAGGGAAGAGTACGGGTATTGACTTGGTTCTGGGCCAAGTTCGTCTTCTTTGGATACGATCGGCGGGCTGAACGATTGGGTGAGACGTCAGCTGAAGAGGGGACGCAACACAACGTCTGCGCCGTTAAGTGATGCGTAGAATCTGTCAAGTTACTGCTGAGCATTGCTTGGGAATGACTTGCAGGCCTGCAGAGCGCGTTCTTTCCCTCGCTCAGAAGGCCGGGGTGACCGGGATGCGCGACCAGCGGCGAGGGTGAGATTCGTAAGGAGGCGAGAAAGGAGCAGGCTCTTTACTCTCGTAAACGCGTCAATAGAGACACTCCTAGACCACCTTGGGATGAGGGCCCAGCAAGCCGAGGCCAACGTCCGTGAGAAAAGGGGCATTGAACGATGGCCAGCAAGAGAACAGTGTGCGATGGTTAGCATCGAAGTCGAGTGGCAGCTTTCTGGTTAGACCTGAATCTGACATCCTGGACCTGGGGGTGGGCGTTGGACGGGTGACAGAAACAGAAACAGGAACCCGTATCAATGGGCACATCTCAGGAGTAGGGCCCCGCGGACGGCGATCAAGCCGCGTCGGCTCCGTGGCTCGGCGCTCCATTTCGGGGGACGTCTGGATCTGGGAGGAGAGGCTCCAAGAACGCCCCAAGTATATTCAAGATCTGCAAGTTCGTCTATCCGCCGACGCAGACGCGGACGCGTCTTCAGGCGGAGAAGGCTTGTGTTGGTACGCGGTCACTAGAGCCTCGTATTTTTGGTTTCTGCGTCTTGCCAGGATGACCGATGTTGGCCGATGCTCGCGCCGGGCACTACATAGTAACGTAGGCATAAGAATAGACGCGTGTGCATCCATCGGGGAGGTTGATTCGTTACCGCAGTGTCGGGGACGAGCTGGAAATAGTTTACATTGGCACGTTGGAAGGAAGTTAACGTGCTAGAAGGAAGAGGGGGTCGTGGGGCCGAATTGGTGGCTGTGCTTGCGATGTGCGGCCGCAGCGCTGCATCTAGCAAGCAAATTGGACGGCCGTAGGGTATCGCCACGACACTGCGTTGGGGGCCGAACCCCGTCATGTCGGCGCTGGTGTCAGTGAGGAAAGAGTGAGAGAATCGGTTGGATGTCCGGACCCGGGAGATGGTGTTGACAGACGCAAGATGCACCTCATTCCAAGGATAAGGCTCGGAGCGTGACCTCACAGGCGGGAGCGAGTGTCATGATCAGCGACAGCAGCAGCAGCCACGCGACTGAAATTATTTTGCGCGCATAGGCATGGATTGCATGACGGGATGCACGTCGTCTTTTGGCCATTGAGAAAGGGACGTCTAATCGTGCAGCAATGCAAGGCAAGGAAAGGCAGAGGCACGTTGACGGCGCGACGCAGTTCCGCATGTACGACTTTTGCCATTGACGGCGTCTGGGTAGTCAGTATGTCTTTTTCAAGGAACAATTGGCAACATAGAAGGAAGCATGAGAACAATCGACCCCGATGTTTACCGGTTTCCGCAGCAGGGGAACGATGAAGCGCTGAAAGATACAGATGAAATAAAATAGAATCAATACAGCGGGTGATCTTCTGCCTTGGTATGTCGGGAGAATGTGGGGCAGGGTCTGGTTGATTGGATGAGGCGGCCAGTCGCTTTCCAGGGCCACTCCAAAAAAGGCAGTTGCGCCTGGCGTATAGCAGGTCCCCGTCCAATGTCTGACCTTCCAAACTGCTCCCTGTCCAGCGTTGGTCGTTATTGTTGGCAGCAAGAGCCACCGGTGATGAGAGCGACTCAGGGCAACAGTGCCAGAAACCCTCGATGCATTGGACGACGACACGTGTGGCTTGACGTTCTTGACCCGTCTAGGTAACTACCCACCCGGGCTGGGGAGGTGCGATTGAACCATATTCATGTTCGGGAAGGAAAAGAGACCACTCAGAAACATTGTTCCACCCCTTCCCGGCCCTAGAAAGGGAAAGAGCGAATGGGAGGCTCTCGCCGCTTCAAGGCCAGCTGAGAAAAAGACGACTAGAGCTCGCATTTCACCAGCCCAGCTTCTGTCCAAACCACCTGGAATTGTTTCCGCGCCTTGACGTCCGCGTTGTGCCAAAAACTACACACGCCACATCAGGCAATTCGAATTGGAACCGGACGCTCACTCCGTCCAGAGTCTGTCCTCGAAGCATCCCATCCCGTTGATCCACTTGCCGTCGTGTCGTCGTGTCTCTCTCCCCGCTCTACCACACCTCCCCTCCTCCCGTCGACACCACACACCACCAAGCTTCCCGTCGCACACCACACCATCCCTGGCCTGCCTCTCTCTCTCTCTCCTTTTTTCTTTCTTTTTTCTTGCCCTCCAGCTTGCGCTGTTCTGCGGTTATCTCTCCTTCTTCTGGCAAGTCTGGGTACCCGGCCCGCCCACATCCATTCGCAAACCACTGCAGTCTTTCATCCGTCTTGTCGACTAGCTCTGTAGTGTACCTTATGCTCGGCATCAGCATCTACCCAACAGGCGGGTACTTGTTACCTGCCGGGCGCGTCAGGAATCCAGATCCAGATGGGCTCCTCCTCCATTGTATCCGATCCTACGGCTACCGACTGACCCCGACAATCATCGTGGCCTTGGCTCTATCAACCCAGTTGGGCGTGATGGACCAGGAGTCACAATCCCTCTTATTTGTCGCCCAAGCACGCACAGGCTTCCGTATGGGGAGCCACGCCTGGTCAACACCACATCCTACATGCAACTGCCTGCACGACCATTCCAACTCCTCCCCCTCCTCCTCCTCCTCCTCCTCAACCCTTCATGTCTTGAACGCTTCCTCGGATCCTCACATACATCTACGTACCCGCCCAACCCGACGAAGCTCGGACTCCCACTCTGGCAGCTCCTCCTCGTTGAGCCTGAAATCCTGCATCGGCATGACTGAATAATCATCTCACCTTGGCTACTTTGCAATCTCTCGCCTCCCAGTCGCTGCCTACTATCACCATCAGTGCATCCCTCACCTGCTAGCTTCCGGTAATTGCTCGCTCATGCACCATGTCATGCAGATTCGGGACCGCATCACCGATTCTTTGTGCCGACCTATTTCGGCACGCTGAGTTTCGACAGCCCCTGCCTGGCGACGGCAATGTCTTGTAATACTGTGCCTCAATCGCCCTACACCAACAGTCATCATAGCGCCTAGCCCGACTCCGGTCGCGTCCTTTACCAACCTCCATTCTCTGCATCACGATGGTCGCTTGGCCCAAGAAACCCCCATCTTGACTGGGACGCATCGATCGACACCACAGGGCTGGCTGACGAGCCAATCGTGCGATGCAAAGGGCCTAGAAAAGGAACAAGCTTGTAGGTATTCCACACCTTCGCAGCCGCTAAACGGGGTAGGGTTCCAGATGGCGTGGCTGTAGGGCTCACCTCAGCTGAACAGGTCCCCGTTCCACTCGCCAACGCTAACTCGTTTTACGACAAATCTCCTAGTTCCCAAGGTCGCAAACCCTCGTTGACAAGGTCTCTGCCCGCTTGCTTTTGCGACCTTTGCTTCCTCTTGGGTCCTGGCCGGTCACCTGCCCCCCAGCGAGTCCCCGTCGTGGCGGCCAGGCCCCTGAGGCCTCAGAACCATTCGACGACGACGACGACGGCGACACAAGTCGCCGAGCCGCCACTGCAAATTGTGGATTGTGCCCATCAACCAAAGGTGGATATGTCAGCAATACCCCAGCTGCTCGGCGTCTTCCACTCAAACAAGGTCGGCGAGACTCGCCCTGGCTTTCCTTGCAACCCGCGAGCTGGTGTTCGGTCCGGCTTGAGTTGGCCATTGGAAACACTCCGGCGCTATGGCCTACCTGTCACCATGTGAGATCGCCATTGAAGCTTGCGCCGTGCCTCGTCATACCTGGGGGGCGCCGAAGCAAAGTCGCGTCTCGTTTGGTGAATCATTTGCTGGACTTTCCTGTCACCGACTTACACACGACCGGACCAATACCGGCATGAGTCCAACTTTGTCTTCCCGGTCCTACGTGTGCCCACGGATGGGGTCATTCGAACGAAGATCATGTTGGGCTGAACGACAGGGATCGGCTGTGCTAGTTGCCCCTGGCTTCGCTTCGAGAAAAGTCGACCCCAAACGTTGCTCTCCGTCCGAGGAAGCAACAGCCGCCGACAATGCAACACACAGTCAAGAGTCCGAGCTATTGGGTTCGTTGGAAAACCGAGCTTGCTGGCTGGCGTCTGCTCGTCGAATATGCAGTTACTTTCGCCAAAGACTACACCGCCTTCAGTCAATAATCGCTCCAACATCTCGTTCTCCGTCCCACTCAACAAGGCCTGTCCTTATCGGAGCCGCGCCCGACCACGACCATGTCACTACCAGCTTTGGTGCTGACATTGCCGCCTTCCCTGGCCAGTCAAAACAAATGGGCTGCGAGACCAACAACTTCCTGTTGCCTACCTAACCCAAGGATTTAAAATCAATCACTCTCCAACATACATGATGACCGCATTTTCAGAGTATCATGGCGTCCATTATGCCCGCGTCTGTTCCCCACCCTTGGGCGCACCCATTTCAACCCCATCCACGCCCGCTTCTGCAACGCCGCTTAACCTTGAGGCGTCTCCAGCTTGCGAGAGAACCACTCGAACCCGATAACCGCACACCACTGCATGCGCCGCCTTGCGGCAAAATCAAGCAAAGCGTTGTCGCCATCGTGACTACCCTAGAGCGTCCGAGGACCTGACTAGCGTCACTGGTCCGCCCAGGCTCTCTCGCTAGAGAGAGAGAGAGAAGGAGAGGAGGCTGACTGAGAATGAAGACGGCGCGCTCTGAAAACGGGGATCCTGGGCTGAGCTAGGTACTTTCCTTCCGCGCCAGCCAAGGGTGTCGTCCGTCACCACACACCTCCTTTACGTCGCACACCCTCATGGCCTCGACCCCTTCTTACTTTCATCTCATTATCTCATTCCTTTTGCCAGCCCTTCCTTGCCGAGCCAGATCTGGCGATACGTTTGCGAGCTGTCTCCATATTGCATCGTCTCCCGCGACATGGCGCATCAACATTGTGTCTATATATATGCTACCGTTACCCGTCCCATCTTGCTCGCAATCCTCCCACCCCGCCAGCGCTCCGTTTAGGTCCCAATCCTGACCCCGTCCCGATCCTCGCTTGCTCATGTGGCCGTCCTTCAGGCACAAAGGAATCCATCTGTCGTTGCCAAAAAAGACAAAGCATTGTCCTCGTCCTCAGGAGCATCGCACATAAATACCCCGTTGTCTCATCAGTCGTCTATTGCGACCTGCATCTGCCAAGAACGGAAACGGGGTCCTCAACCCACCTCAGCTTGCAGCCCCTTGGGGACTTTGGAACCTGCCGTGTTGTAAGTCAGCCGTCTTATACAGTTATTGGACAACGCCACTGTCAGCGACGCGTGGGAACCATTCACGTCTTGCCCATGGGTTGGTTTCAGAGCTCCTAACGCGATGAGCCTCGCGCTACCCTAGCGCGCGGCATCCTCTCGAAAATAGTACCATAAAAAGGTTCAAGCACTTACACGACGATCATGTAGAAAGACACCTGCCACTCTTCCTCTCCCTTGGCTTCGTTTTCCTCGACCTCACCCGATAAATCGACCGGGCGCACAGAGCAATCGGCCCAACCCGGACCTTTACGCGGCAGCTTCTCCCCCGACTTACGTGCGGCAGATGCGACGGCCGAGGCCCACCATCCCAACCCCCTAGTCGCTTATGTCCAGCAGCGCCATTCCATTACTCGCAAGCCACCGTTAGGTCCTGGCTAGGCCGCCAGACACAGGCATACCCCCCCCCCCCCCCCCCCCCCGAAGTACCACCACACCGCATCAGAAGCCCACCCGACCAAGGTACCTCTACTTCCTTCGTGAAGGCAGGCAGAGACCCCCTTTGCGACCATCCAAGCCTAATCACTTGCCAGAATAAGCCGGCCAGTCTTTGGCAGCTATGCCCGCTGTCAGTCATCCTGAGCTGGGCTTGGACGAGCCGCCCTCAGCTGCTCGCTCTCACCACCACTTCTCCTTCTCTCATCTTTGCGCAGGGCTCACCTTGCTTACCGTTCTGATCATCTTCCGTCTGGTAGCATGTCGTGCTCTCTCTTCTGCGACAAGCAAGAAGGACAAGGTCGTTCAGCAACACAGACCAGTTGTTGACGATATTAGCCATCTGATCAACCAGCAGCGGCTTCGTCACCTCTTTATCCAGGACGGGGGCTGGGTAATGGAGGAAAAATCACGTGGAGTCAGCGGTAGCAACCAGGCTGTCGGGGTTGGATCAGTCGGGAAACCAGGTCCGCAGGTGAATTTCACGGCTGACGTTGAGAAGGAATCGGGAGAGGCCAAGGCAAAAAGAAGCGGCAATGATGCGCCGTCGCGTGGTGGTATGTTTGGACCAGGATACCCTTCAGACTTGACTTCCGCCGGGTTCATGTTGTCGAGGCCTCCGCCTCCGCCTCCCCTGACGCCTCCTGAACTGTCGCCGTCCGTTTTTATGTACGACGAGCGCAGGAGAAGCTTCACCAGTGGCGTGTCAGAGCTAGACGCGTCCTTTTTTGAACAGCCTAACCCCGATTACATGTCATTCACGTCGACAGAAGCCTCAACGACTACACAGAGCACACGTACCACGCGGTCGTCTCCAACGCCCCGGAGAAGGTCGTATACCAAGACACTGCCCATCGGAGTGCCAGTTTCTGCAACGGGTCCCATACTTGAAGAGGCCGAGTTGACCTTTTCTCCGTCGTCATATCCGCCTACTTCCCCGCTGCTGCCGGGTCCTCCTCCCATCCACGGCGAGGTCCGCTACGACGAGGCGACGAATCGGGAGATCCTAGTGCAAGGCGAGATCATCTCTCTTCTCGATGATGCTGGGGCAGGATGGAAACGTCACACGAGGGTGTACGGAGGCGGCGTCTGCCTCGCCTGCGCAGCATCCGGCGACGATGGTCACCACGGCGGTTTCTACGGGGAGAATGTCTTGCCAGAGGAGAAGCGGTACTGAGAATTTGAGTCGATTACGGACAGTGGTCTAATCAGGGGTTGCCTATACCCATCGGGACGAATCAGTTTATCGGGACGTAGAGCGACGATAGACGGAAGCAGGGCCTCATCAGCATCACGGCGGGACAAAAGGGGTTTGGTATTCAATCTCGTTGGGGAGGGGCTTCAACCTTGCAGCATTTCAGTTACGATTACCCCTTTATTGTGTCTTCGCCCACAAGCCAAGTGGGTTTGGAGTTGATTCCGTTCGATTTCCTTTGGTTCTTGTCTGGTTTTTCCAGTGGTGGAAAGGAAAGGAGATGGTCGTTTGGCAGGGGTTTTTTCGCGGGCTTCAGAAGCATGTAATTGGAGGATTTGGGTTTATTTCTTTCTTTCTTTCCTTTTCCCTCTTCTTGACCAATCTTCACGCTTGATGACATTTATGATTTGATGACGATGACGACTCGAGTCTTGTTTTGCAGGTCACAAAGTGGAAGATGCAAATGCTTATGTGCATGTACGCGTGTATATATTACTGGAAATGAGGCTGTGTGTACCGGTCGGGAAAGAAAAGTGTAGGGTCCCCTCCGCGGAAGACAGCGAGGGAACCGGAGCGAGACGTGTGTGTATGTATGTAAGCCAAAAGGTTCTTAGATCTGGAAAGGCCTGACGACGGGTGTCTACCTTTGAGGTAGAAGCACTGCGGCCGCGTTCCCGTAGGTGATATCTCAAGAGTTGCAAGTCTCATGTTACTCTTGATAATTTGATGCGTAACATGTCACTCACTCCCCCGATACTACGGTCCAGGCTCCACCAGTTATCGCTGGTCTCGTGGACGGGCATGGCGTCTCGGCCGGATTTTGGAGTTGCGTGAGCGGGACGCTCACTTTAGAGGGGGCTTGCTAGTCTCGGGACGACGAAAACGCCGGATCGGGAGCCCGTCTTCTCGGCAAAGGGGGGAGGAGTTTCTCAGCCTGGCGGGACGGGGCACAACGTCAGCAAAACGAGACCAAAGACCTACCAGCCCAGAAAACTTGTCCTTCGCCCGAGCCACCGGGTTACGAGGTCGCCACCTGCCCTTGATTCAAAGGCGATTCTAAGCTGTTCTCGAGCCATCCGCAGCTTCGCTTGTCTTCCTTTGCCTCAGCTCGGTGTGACAGAGTCTTCATATTAGCGCCCTCATGAGTCATCAGAGCCGTCACGGCTTACAGCGTCTCATCTGGGTTCCGTAAAGCTACCGACGTCGCGTGATTTCTCCAAAGAGCTCTGGCTTTGGTAGGAGGTCACGAGGTTACAAAAAAAAGTTGCTGACGCTGAGTGTTGCTTTACGGTACGGTGGCGGTAGAGAGACCGGTGACCGCGGCCCCGAATAGTTGTGTTCCAGAATGGCATCATTCGACTGTCCTTCGCCATCTCGACCGTATGTACATGCTATTTGGCCCGCTTGAGATCCCGAGGCGGCCGTGAAAGTCCCCTTGAACTCAGGCACCAAGCGTCCCAGCGGATGCCCTACTATAGTAGACTGGACCTGGCTGCACTTATGGCGATGGCGGATGACGAACTTTCACCTACGGTCGTGGCGGCAACGGCGGGGATCCAGAGTCCGCCAGGGCGGCCACGTCGAATCCCACCCGAGAAAGCTCCCGCGCGGCGTGGATCGCGTTGGCGATGCACTTGTTGTACCTGGACAAAGCTGCTCTCCCACACCTCAAACTAACTCTAATACCCTTGACCCTGTCCGGCCCTCTCTCCCCCATCTCACGTCATCCTCGGGACATTCTGGAAAAGCCAGAGGAAAATTCCACCGCGTCTGGGGAGACAAAAAGTCGAGGTCGGCCCCCTCTTCGAAGCTCGGTCCCGATTAGGCCGGTGGGCGTGCCCTTTCCCATCCTTCCATGCCGTCAGGCGGGATGAGACGCCGAGAATGGCAGATGATCATGGACACCGCTAGGGCGTGCGCCGCTGTCGATGGTGGCTGGTCGACCGGTCAGCTACGCGGCTCTGCGGTGGAGGCCTTTACTGAAGTCCCTTTGATCCGTCTGCCACGACCTGTCGGCATGGATAGTCGGTTTCTTCCCCTCTGGAGCGGTACGCCGTGGACACCGTCTCTCCCCTCCCAGGACAACGGCTGCTGTGTAACATGCCATGCACGCATACATTGCTCCGATACTGGCATAGTTGGTGGTGGTGTGTAAGATCGTGATCAGCACACCCGTTGTGGGTTGTCTGGAGAAGACCAAGTGAAAGGGGGAGGGGGGTGAGCAGAGGGACGTCAGTGTCGTTGCCCGATCGATAGACCACGTTGGCATTTGCCATGCGCGGCAACGATTGAGCTCCCCTGCTGCAGAGACAAACGGTGCAGAAACACCGGCAAGGATCTAAGCTGCAAGCTCAAGCAGAGATGTTTTTTTTCTTTCCGCGTGGACGGATCGTGGTGGATGGGGGACCATGGTCGTTCCCACGTCAGCCGCCTCACCGCTGACACCCCTCCCCACCTCCTCCGTCAACGGCCATCTCTGAGCAACTGGCTCTTGGAAGAAAGAAAAAACCTTGGATGGAATACCCGAAGCCGAGGGATCTTCTCTGGATGTTGCCGTTCTGGGCTCTAGAGTGCCTGACCTCGTCAGAGGACGCCCGAGCAGCGAGCCAACCTTGGTCGAGTATCAAAAGTTGTGGGCCATGCGCTCGCGCCATGGGCGGATCGCGGTGCAAAAAACACGACGGAAGGATTCCGTCCCCGAGGCAGAGGGAGTTCGGAGACGAGAGAGCCGCAGGATTCTTCCTCGAGACCTACTGGGGTGGCTATTGGACTCATATACGAACTTCACCTGGCGCAAACGGTTGATTGGCTGGGCGGCGGCCGTCGAGGCAGAGCTAGTGCCCGAAGGAAAAAGGAGATTGAATCTCACTCTCAACCCCTCTCAGCCCTATGACATGGTCAGGCTGGGCAAACATGAATGCCTCCGGATGGGTTTAGCCGAGGGTGGGGGTTGATCGATGCAATGAGCCTTGGCGATGTCGACGTGACTGTTCGGCGCAGCGCTGGAGCACGCGTCCTGATAAGTTGGGAAAAGGCCGCGCCTCACTGATCGCCCTTCTTCTTCTTCTTCTTCTTCTTCTTCTTCAAGACGAAATCGAAAAGGTTCATGCGGTTCAAGCCACGAATAATCTCCGGCACGCACAGGGAAACCCTTTCCTATCCTGATTGATATGCCGTGAACATTGGAGGCATGCGAAGAGTTAGGTTGGGATACCTTGGGTTACTATGAACTATGTTTGCCTAAAGGAACATATATGATTCGGTATGTATCTGAATACTAACGAGGCTCTAGAGGTAGAGCCAGCTCCTCAGACCGTGTTAGAACAGTTGGGTTTATGTTCCTTGCTGTCCTTAAAGCACAATCTCGCAACGTTCATGGCTGATACTGCGCAGATACGTTTATATTTATGGAACAACCTCCCTCCCAGGCCACTGCATGCTGGTGTATCATATTTGTTATGACGAACGCAGAAGCCGAAACTTGGAAGTGCCTGATTCCAGACAGGAGCATGTGCCAGACTCATCAGAGTTCGGGCGATACTGTAACAACGAATTGGGACAGCAGCCTTGATGCGTGATGATTGATGCTGTCGAAAAGAGAGGTTCGGTACCGTCAACTCCCGCCGATTAGGAGGTGGTCACTTCTGGAACGGTCTCGATGGCAACTTCAAGCCAATGCCTTTGATGCCCAGCGGCATCGACGTCGAGTCTCAGGAGCCTGGCTACATGCTACTTATGGCGACATGACCACCAGAAATCACAGCTTCGAGAATCAGCAAGTCGGCTCCAAGGCCACAGCATATTGTAACTCGCCCACTGGAAGCCAACTCTTCTACAGCCACCACACATATACATTGGCTTTTGATACCGTACCTCACACTGTCAACCTTTCAGACGACACTGCTCAGGGCACCTCACCTCCTCGTGATCTATGCTCGAGTACTTGCCATTTCCGCAAGCAGGAGATGATCGCCCATGTCAGCCGCCAAGGTGTTATTCTCCCTCAGACCGATCAGTCGGTTGCTGTGAGGCACAAGCTGTCCCTTTTGACCAAAGTTGTCAGTGTTTGTAGACCAGTCCACACTTTAAGATTGCATAACAGCAACTGACTGCACGAGGTCAGATAAAAGGTAGAGTCAAGGTGTGCCTAGTAGTGTCTGGTGCTGCTGTCGCAACAATGGCTTTGGGTCTGTCATCATCTGTAGCTTTCACTCGTATTGGATCCATCGGGGCATCCAGGGGCATGGATCGGTTCTACCACCATCTGGAATCCAGAGAGACGTCTATGACGTCTAAGCTCCTACGTTCGAGATATGAAGAGTAGTGGGCAGCCTGGTCACAATATGGTAAGACCGACTCTTGCAACTCAGCAACTCATGCCACTTCCCAGAAGATTCTTGGGACAAGCCATTGTTTTCCTATCGGCGCGATACTGTTGACCCAGAAGCAGACGCCCCTCTGCATCGAGGCATATTCTTACTTGACCGGCGTCGTCAAATGGAGAACTGGTGGTGGAGAGCCGGGCGCCAACATCGCCTTGCCAAGGTCGCGGCTGCCGTTTTCATGTTTGGCGCGCTTCTGCGTTGAGCGAGGCGCCACGGACACACAATGCCCAATAAACCCCTGGCGGCGGTAGAGGATGGCACACAGTGTATCCCGCACACCATACCTTGCGCGCTTGTTGGATCGCTGATGTTTGGTAGCTTGGTGCTCAACCCAAGGTCATGAAAGAACCAAGACGTTGTCCCGCTCACGCGTGCCAGCCGGAAGTCGCCTGCGTCGATCCCCGGCTTCTTGGCTGAGATCGGCAGAGAGCGGTCAACAAGTTGGCCTAACAGATAGCAGCGGGGACGCCACGCAGAAAAAGCCATCTTTGACCTTGCGCGCTGTTGCGCGCTGTTGGCAGTTTATCCAAAACCAATCAACAGACTGACGTCGCGAGAAGCGGCGGCTAAGGGCCCAGACAGCTGGGCTGGGCGATC